TGTAAATACGATGTTATGCTGCCGGACCGTGGCTCTCACTGCAACGATTTCTTGATTTTCATTACAATAGGGGGTTAGATCTACTTGGTGCTGGGGCCAGTCGCACCTTACATAGACGAGCGCTTTCCCTGGCGGGGAGGCAGATTGCCCCGGCCGTTTACTAGTTATGGACGGGCTTGAGTAGGTAGTGTAACCATTGAAGTTGATGCTCGTAGTATTAGTCTCCTGAAGCAGTAATACATCAGGACGCTCGTCAGGTTTGTCCAACAGACGTACTCGGAGCTCGGCCGCCCGCTTGCGGAGCGCCTGGCAGTTCCATTGGAGCACCCTTATCATTAGCGTTAAAAAATATTCGCTGTAAGTGCTCTCATCTGACTGAGGGTGGACTTGTGGTTGTTCTCTTCTTGCTGGGCTTGGACAATGGCCTTGAGCCTGTCTAGCTCGGCTTTGAAGTAGTTGCAGGTGTTGCGTAGTTCTTGGATCTCCGCCTGTGACGACGGTGATGGTGGTGGAGCGACGATGCCGTGTTTGACTCTGTCAGCCCATGAAGTGCCGCTTGGAGGGACCGGGGTCTTGACAGCCCCGGTCGCAGTCTGCTCCTGCTGCTGCTGTTGTTGTTGCTTATGTTGTTCTCGGAATTTTTTTTACGACTTCCCGCATTCGCTTGTTGGTCTCTTGCCATGTGGGGCATTTGCGGTCCGTTCCCAGGTGGCCCTTCTTTCTGCACCCTTGGCAGTAGGGTGTGGAGTCGGGGCATTCGGGTCCCTGGGCAGGATCCGTAGAGGCTAAATGTTGAGTTCCGCAGATGGGGCACATGGCAGCATTTGGGCAGATGTCCGGTTTGTGTCCCAATCGGTGGCAGTTACCGCATGTCACCGCTTTCGGCTTGAACGGGAAGACCCGCATATATCTATTGCCGTACAAAACGGACCTCGGCGTCTTTTCTCCATCAAATGTGAGCATTGCCGTGTTAGACTTTCCCAGTCTACGAGCAGCGACCACCTGGATCTTCTCAGATTCCAATTCAAGGTTCAAGACGTTGTCTTGGGGATCCTCTTCTTTTGAGTAAATGTCGTAGATGACCCCTTTGCAATAGGCGGTTCCGTACGTTCTAAAGACTTGTACAGAAACTGCTTGTCCGGCAATGTCGACCTCGGTTATCTTCTCGAGGGTTTCGGCCAGCTGTTTCGAGACCGTGCGGACTGAAATAGTGTTGGCCTTGTCTAGTAGATGCATTGTGAATGCTGTTGAAACGCTCGAGAGGTGCGTTTTCAGTCTTGGTAGTAGTGGCTTTATCGAGACTTGGGATCGTGTTAGGCGGATCTTGTACTCGAATTGCCAACGCCGGGAGGGCTTGGCCTTCTCATTATTTTGTTGTGTCGGGTCCTCGCGAGCCCGTTTCCTTTTCTTCCTGCTCGTGACGGTGGTGAAGCCGTCCTCTTCTTCCGTTTGTTCTGTAGTAGGTGGCGCGGCGGCCGCAGGCTTTGGTGCCGGTAGTGTCTTAGCAGGCACTGAGCTGTCGCCCTGGCTCCCTGCTGGTTGTGGCGTCTTGCCAGATATAGGTGCAGCGCCGGCTGGCGCTGGCAGAATTGCTGTTGTGCTGCTTTTCAAGGCTTTCTTAGAAGTCGCAGACTTGTTCTTCTTCTTCCCCTTGGTAGTTGGCACGATTTCGTGAGATTCTCCAATGACACTTTTGAAAATATCGATAAGGCTCTCTTTCGATATGCTCGAAAGGAGAGCCCTTAAGACTAGCTCGACAGATTGGGACTGTGGAGGGCTCACCAAATTGGAAGACTGTTGAGCACCCCATCGTCGATTTGTTTAGTATCGAGGCTGGAGCAGGTCCTGCTCCCGTCGTGGTAGTGGCGGGACCGGCGTTACTCGCATTCCTCGTGTCCATGGCCTCTGGTTGACCGTGGCTGGTCGATGCGTTGCTCGAAGTCCTGGCCGCATCTTCCGGTTTTACCGAGGGACAATCCCCCGAAGATCCGAAAGGGGGGCCCGAACTTGGCAGCTCGGGGCTGAGCTTAGCGCCGAGCATTTTCGAAAAAGTCGAGAGCTTGAGAAAACACGTCCGATCACATCGGTGGCTTCTTCTTTCTCCCTGGTAGTTATGCATATTGCCTTCTTTTTAATTCGCATATTTTTTTTTTATTTTTTTTTTTTTTTTTTTGGGGGGGGGGGACTTGAAATACTTTTGACAGTGTCATAAACGACCATTTTTCTTACATTGTACGTATAGGCTTGCAAATCCTGCAAAAACCGCTCTAGCGAAATACTTTTCCAGGGCCGCCCTCTAGATGGCGCCAGCGTTCTCTGGTCGTAGAACGCAAATGTGTAAACGAGCTTTCATATAAAAAACAGTCTGGAGACACTATCTGAAACCTGACTCACGTGGTGCGATTTTGATTGCGCTTTCGCAGCTGCGGCGTTGAGCCCCGCGGCCTGTGTAGTCCGTTGCAACTCAAGAAGGTAGGGCGTGGGAAAGGAAGGCCGGGAACGAGGAAGCAGGCGGAACGCTGGAGGGAGGAGAATGTTTTCCCCTCTCCTCTCCAGCCTTCTGTCTGCTTCCTCCTCCCCGGCCTTCCTTTCGCTTGCAATGCCCTAACTTCTTGAGATCGGGCTTGAGGCGTGTTCCTTCCTTGTGCGACGGCCCTGTCCCGTTGATCATACAAAGGCTGTCCGCGGGCATCTTTGAGGCATACATGCATGCCTACGAAAGAAACATGTTTCGGACATGCATCGAGGCGTATCCGCAGATGATTGCGCCATCATGCCTGCAGCGAACGTCGTGTCTTTTGTATGATGTACGGGCAGTGCGTCTGCGGCTTTAACTATGCGGTGAGGAACTGAGGGAGAGGAGGATATGAGAGCCCGCGGGGACATCAGAGCGATGCGAGCTTTGATTGTAAGGAGTGGGTACGCAAAGGTTATAGCTGCCTTTGTCTCTAACCACCGTTCGAACGGCGATTGCCGGCGTTCGAAGGCGAGACACTGCGTTCTGATTGGAGGGAGACAGTGGGTCGACCCACTAATTCTTACAGTCAGAGCTCGACTTTCTCACGTCCCCGCACGCTCTCATTTCCTCCTCTCACTCAGTTTCTAACCTACTGTCAATGACCAGCTAGAAGTAGGATACAAGAGGTCAGATCTGAGCCTGCTCATGAGCTCCTCGCTCGTGTAAGTTAGTTTCCGTTAGTGCGAAAGCTCCCCCCCCCCCTCCCCTCTACCCTCCTAGAATATGACAAGGCCGCAGTGCTGGATTTTTTGCGTCATCAATTGGAGGCCAGCGCTCAGTTGGGGCATTTGCTCAATCAGTGGGAACACGCGTACCAGCCTAAAGCTGACGCGGCACTCGCGTCCAATCTGTCTGTGACTCACGCTGGCCCACCGTAGATGACGTAGAAAATCAAGCATAATTGGCCTTACTACCGAGGAAATGCTTGGCAGAAGCCATCGCTCGCTCAACGAAAGAATCTGCTATGTCAAGACGTCACAATGCAGAACGGATTTTCTGACTCATATCTGTTTATAGTATTATAATAGTGTTTATATACAATGCGCTGTCTTCCCGGTCCGCTCTCTGGCAAGGCTTCCGTCAGGCTCCGCGACAAGGCCATTCCTCAAATCCTCTCCGAGTGTCTTTATTCGGACGGTACGGAGTTCAGAGAAGGAAAGAAAACAAACAAAAAGAGAAAGAAAGGATGCTCCCGCCCAGTTGGAAGACCTTGGCTCGGCATTTCCGCGAGCACAATTGCAACTGTTGGGAACAATGAGGAGATTCGGATGGGACCGAAAATCAAAGGGGGAAGCCAAACAAAAGACCGCAAGGGCACTGGCGGAGGTTACCCGCGATGCTGCCCCGGGAGGATGATAATGCGAGAGATGCTCTCGTCCCCCTTGGATCGGAGATTATGTAAGGTCGGACCGCGATCCTCTGCTCCTTGTCTCGCCAAGGCTACCGGTGTATGGACTTCTGGCAGCAATGCGCATTCTGCGTCTGTGTGAGGTAAACAATCAGCCGATTTGCAAGCAAATGTAGGATTACGTGTGTTTGTGTGTGTGTGTGTGTGTTTGTTTTTAGTGCTTCGGCGTTTGCCACGTTGTTGGTTGCCAGCTGTCCTCTCCTGGTACATGTGTAATTAAATTTCGTGTTATATCAAAATGAATGTTACTATTCTTATATTTGTTATTGCAGGTTTGTGATGCACAATGGGTACATTTTACATTCGGGCTTCTCGCTATTGCAACTTGCAATTTGTATGTCGATTGAAAATATTTTTCGCGTTTTCCATACTTCAAGGTTTTGCACTATTGCCTTTCTGGTTGTTTACGTTAGTGATATTTCTGTTACAACTGGGCGTAAAGTATGTTAAAAAGGCACGGTGCAACAATATTTACTTGGAATTTTTTTCACTTTACACGAGCTTACTGGCAGTGGCAACGCCATTGACCAAGAAACCTCCTTGTTGCGACGAGCGTTTTCTTTCAATCTCTCCTTCGCAATCCTTGACGTAGCGTGGGGGTAGCATTGTCGGCGTCAGTGATTTCCCTACACACCCCCTAAAAAAGGGGGGGGGGGGGGGGGTTGCACCCCACCTTGTTTTTCGGAGGGTACCCCTTTAATTCGCAACGACTCCTCTATTTTCAATGCACCCCCCCCCCCCCCCCCCCTCCCCTTCATTTCAATTCCTGGGGAAACCCCTCGTCGGCATAGTCCCGCGGCTACGATATTTGAATCCGGCTCATAGATTGAACCCGAGCATTGCGTGAACACTCGATTTGGGCTCGTGATAATTAATAGCTCGGCAAACGTTCGGGTAGTGGCTCGTGTCCCATCGCGGCAATGACGAGAATAGCCGAAGCCTAACAATGTCTGGAACTCGGCGCGTGTCCTCTTCTTTCCCAACCTCGGCGCGTGGCTATGATCAACATTGTCGGCATTTAATCGGTTCCAGATCACGTGGCCGCTTGTTCTGGCTGCCAGTTGAAAGGGTGAACGCTGCTCGTTTTTCTTTAATTTCTTTTGTGACGTTTATTGCGCGAGGAGAAACACGAAAGCGTTTTGTTGGTCATAAATGTCAGGGATGCCTTCTAAGCGGTATCCGAGCTAAATACAAAAATCGAGGTCACATCAGCCGCCATTGTAGTGACCTTGCTGCTGATCACATACCCTGATGCAATATATATTTCACACCAGGATTAGTGTGCACAGGGTGTTTAAAATCCAGAATTAAGTGATTTTTTTTTAATTGACTTGTGTTTGAATGCATAGTTAAATTAAGAATTACTTTTCGTGATTTTGGTTCATAATGATTATGTAATATCTGATAAAATTATGAAGGTCCAAACGTATTTGAAAAAAGAAGTGTTAATTTTTTTTAATTAAATAATTGTAAATCTTGAAAGTGTAAAAAAAAAAAAGAAAACTTTTTTTTTTAATTTTGATGTTTCCCGTAAAAAAAAAAAAAAAGAAAAAAAGGGGGTTGCTGCGAAAACGACAGTTGCTGTAAATTTGAGCGATTCTACGACCTTTAATGTTCGTCAAAAGTGTACCGAACATGATAAAACAGAACTTTACGACGGCACCAAAAAAGCACCGCTAGTCGTCGTTTCCACTACGTTGTCATCCACACGCGCCCAGCTCCGGCGCGTACAGGTCACCCGTCCCAGTCGTCGTAGTCCGTAAGCACGGGCAGCTCGCCCGTTTTCCCCGAAAAGCTGATGCTGAGGAGCCCATTCAGCCGGCTCATCTTCTCCTGACACTGCGCCACTCTATCGTTGAAGGTTTGCTTGAAATTCGACGACAGCCTCTTCCGGCGCTTGACCTCCGGCACCGTGATGTCCAACCACTTTGTCAGCAAACGTTCGTCGATGTCCACCTCTAGATTCGCCGTGTCGTCGCTGACGATCACGGAGAGACACCACGTCTCTTCCGGAGACTGCCTCAGTTTGCTCGTGGGCGTTGCGATGTACCCCTTGATGACCACCACTTCGGGTGTCTCCGGAGGTTTGCCGTCCTTCAGCACGAAGCTTAACTTGGTGAAGGGTACGACGGTTTCGGTTGGACTATGACTAGCCGCACGCCCATCAGAATCTCCTTCATGCCTGGATTCCCCAGGTGGCACAACTGACTCGATGTTGGCTTGGAAGTCTAGCTGTTCGCGTAAAATATCTTCGTCAACGTCGTCTTCAAATGCGTCTTCGAGGAGCGGCTCTGCATCGGGCAACGTCTCGATGTCTTCTAAGTTCACTTGGCTCAGAAGGATGTCGTCGGCGGCATCCATTGCTTCGCTGGTATCGACAGGAACTGTGTTTCTGTTGCTGTAGTTGCTGGTTGATCTGCTACTGGACATCGGTACCGTCGAAGCAGTACTTCCAGGATTCCAGCGAGAGGCCTCTGCCGGGCGCTGCGGGCTACGGTTCGAAGCATTCGAAGCACTGTCTTCTAGACTCGCGCTACTTGTAGCTGTTCGATCACTATGAGCTTCCCGACCGACCCTAACTTCTCTGTTGTTGTTATTGCTGTTTGGTCTTGTGACTTCCTGCGTATCCGGCACCGGTCTGTTGATGGCCCTGCTAAGAACTGCCTTCTGGCAGTTCCCAGCTTTGAGGGCTTCTACCACCCCGCCAAGAACTCGGACGCTGTTGGACTTGAGGAATACGACACCCCGCCTGCACTCAAGCGGTCCTGTGATAATTATCTTGGCGCCAGGAGGCAGACTCGAGGTTAGAGAGGCTACGACCTCAAACTCAAAAGCTTGGATTCTGTGCGTGCCGTCGCTGACCTCCAGTTTCAGCATTCGCGTGGTCTTCGCCTCCCACGGCGCCGGTGCTTCCCTGGGCTCCGCTTGCACGGCCGTATTTTCGTTCTCGCCGCCCGTGAGTTTGAGGAGCTGTGAGTACGCGGGCTGACTGACGTCTCGGATCGAGTCAACTTGCACAAAGTAAGACGACTTGAGAATTAGTCGGTGGGCCGTCAGAGCGCTGGCGGGCAGGCATGACGTACCCATGTCGTTTAGGTCGGTAAAAAGAAGCTGGTGGTAAACCTGCCTGTACATCTCGTCGCTGCTCAGGCTTCGTGTGCTGTTCTCACTTCGCACGTGAGATATGCAAGCTTGGAGCCACGAATCGCTGACTTGGATGTGCTCGCGGGAAAGCTTTTGTCTCACGAATTCGGCGTGGTTCATAATGGCTTTCCGTCTAGCGTTGTCGGGACATCGTGCAGGAGTCAAATACACGTGCAAGCAAAACCAGGTTGAGTTGTATTTGAGCCAAAGCGGTCAGAGTGGACAAAACCGCAAAAAAAGGTACGGCCCTGAAGGTTTTTTAGTCGGCATTCCCGCGTCCCCGCGCACACGATAAACATTCCGGCATGCGGTTCCGGCCATTTTTATTACTACCGTCAAAAGCGTAGTGTCGTATTATGTTTATGAAGTCCTTCAGTTGGCGCAGTAAACTATAAAAAATGAATATGATAATCTAATCCATATTTTGTAAGATACAAGAACTACGCTACATATTAGTGGAAATATAAGGTATGCAAGAGAAAACACCAAAAATCAAGGACCGAAAATCCACTTTCTGATTATTATTGGACACAGCGCGCCATCTCGGTGTGAAGGCACGAACCATATTGCTTTTATGGACCCGCGCGCTCCTTCGAACTACAGTGACTTTGCGCGATCCGAATCATGCACTGCGTTCAATCTGATTAGTCAACGAGAACCGACAATTTTATTTATCTTGCTTCTTTTAATCAGAAGGTGTAAACTAATGTTAAGGGCCGAAAAACGACTCCTCAACCATAGCTAAAAGCGGCCGCACTTGAGGCTGTGGGTGAACGGGCTTTTCTGCTGCGCAGGCCGCGGAGTCGCTCTCTGGAAGTCGTCGGTCGGATCCTTGTGGTCGCCTAGTTCTTCGTGCTTGACCCCCTGAACGGACTAGAAAAAATACGGTTAGCCAAAATGATCGTTAGCTTCAAGCTCTATTTACCCATCATGGCTTGCGAACGAAAACACGCGCTACGCCCTATCGATTCGGTAGGGTGCGCGCTAAAGCTATAAGATAGGCAGAATTAAGGTAGTGCCAATCTTCGATGTGGCGACAAGCCGGAAACACTGCTGCCCAAATGGCCGGAGTGCTCACCTAACAACAACACAAATTTAATAAATTGTTTTTAGTTATTATTCGGGCCATTGTGGAACCATTCAGCTTTGCAAGGTCAAGGGGAACTTGCTTTGAAGTCCATACACTTCGCTCCACCTGCGGATGCTACGAGCTATCGAAGCCAATACAAGGCCGTGTGACTGTTACCTGACCTTGGCGAGGGGGCGCGGTGACGCTTGAAGAGCGTATCACTTGCTAAGTTCATAGAGCAGGACAGGCTGGGATGGCTCGTCGCGTACACTGTGGTCCTGCTTTCCGCCATATGTATCTGATTACCCATGTTTGGAAAGCCAAATTACATGGAGCTGCCATCAAAAGCGCAATCAGCACTATACCCGTTTTCACCTCAAGAAAAAAAGTAAGTTTTGCGGATTGTTCATACGCGGCGCAAAGTAGTTCTTACGAGATTTGGTCCTCAGAGGAAAAAGCGATGCTTTTGGCGTTTGGAACGTGTACGTCTTGATAAGATAACATTTATCTAATCTAAAATGCACCTAAATATATCTTAATAACACACATAAAGCGGGAAATTAGTAATTCTCCGCGAGGAGCCGGACTTGTTTTTTCTACGGTTCTTGAGGTGAAAAGAGGTGTAGCTCCCACATCGTTTTAGTTGATACGACAGTCCGAATATAAACTTATTAAATGTTTCAAATTAAAAGAACAAAAAAAACTACCCCCCCCCCCTTTTTTTTTCGGAAAAACGAAAAAGAAACGAAATTGTTCGTTAAATGCTTGAATAGCAAAGTATGTCATGAAAAAAAATTAAATTTCCCCGAAACAATTTGTTTGAGGCGCAATATTTACGTCGCGAGACATATCTTGAGTCGGGGACAATTTCGATATTATGGCACGTCAGCCCTAAATAGATGCATATTTCGTGATTGCTCCTGGAGACTCAGTGATAAGCCGATCCCGAAACGTATTTCTATTTGGCCACGTCGTCCCGAGATAATGAACACTAAATAGAAGCACGTTACGATATACTCAAAAATGAGTCTCGCGGCCTAAATAAGCGCTCATATTTTCATTCGCGTGCAAGAGTATGAACGCCGTTCACGCTCTTGCAGACGAGTAAGCGAGAGAGACAAGACCGGTTTTTAAGCCTTTTGCGACGGCTTAGAACCAGCTCCGCAGCAGCGCATCCAGTCCTAAGACGTCGCAAGAGGCTTAAAAATCAGTCTTGTCTTTCTCGGTTGTACTCGGTTGCACGTGTGTGAACGGGCGTTTACTTTTTTCCTAGTTCAATGTTGTTGTTTTTTTTTTTTTTTTTTTTTTTTTTTTTTCTTAAGACTAAACGCTTGTTCACACTCTTGCAACCGAGTACGACCGAGAGAGACCAGACCGGTTTTTAAGCCTCTTGCGACCTCAACCGGGTACGACCGAGAGAGACCAGACCGGTTTTTAAGCCTCTTGCGACCTCTTAAGAGGTCGCAAGAGGCTTAAAAACCGGTCTGGTCTCTCTCGGTCGTACTCGGTTGCAAGAGTGTGAACGAACCTTAAAGGGCAACTCCGGTCCATACTTTCGATTTTGGGATTATGGCTGTTTTTAGTGCAGTTAGCGCCCCTGAATTGCAAGGTGTAATTTTTTTCTCGTTATTGTGCGTAGTTTTAAAAATATCGACGTCTCAAAGTTTTGTTTGGGGCGCGGCCGACGAAACCGAAACTAGCCGCTCGAGGTTCCGGCAACACTGGAAATCAGCCGCTATGTGGACGTGACGCCAAGATCGTTCTCGTTCAGCGAGTACGCAGTCCAAGCAGTCCAAGCGGCACCTACCTCTGTTGTGCTAGCCGTCTAAAGATAGAAAGTAAGCTGATTTTTTTTTTTTTTAATTCTGTATAAGTGGTAGTTATCCAGCATATGTAGCAAGAGTTAGTGCGTATACCCAAAAGCTAGCGACTGGAAAACCCGTCAACTCGTTCGGTGGCGTACTCGGCGGCCGCCGCCACGCGTGCGCTATGCCGTGCCGTACTCGTTGCTTGTATTGCTTGTATACCCAAAAGCTAGCAACTGGAAAACGAGTGAACTCGTTCGGTGCCGTACTGCCGTACTCGGCAGCTGTCGGCGGCGTGCGTGCGGTCTCCCGCACTCGTCGCTAGGCCTAAATTGTCATCGGGGCTCCGTGGATGGAGCGGCGTTGCTCTACGCCGCGCTGCCGGCGCTGCCAGTGACGTACAGTGCTGGCGCTTTCGCGCGGCGGGTCAGTCCCAGATACGTAGCTTTGAGGCTCTTTGGCGCTTTCCGCGACAACCGCACAGACGTGTGTCAGGCTGTAGGGGAGGCACTCACTTGATCGAATGACATTTTAGCGAACGCCCACGTTTCATCGAACGACACTTTAGCGAATAGTCGGACGCCGCGAAGCGGCGTTTTCGGGTGGGCCAAATGAGTTCATATTTACCACATAAGTTCGTCCAAGTAGTGAATCTTTGTACAAATAAAAAAAAAACAAAAAAACTTGCCGCACTAAAAAAAAAAAGTTCTTTGGGCAGTCATTTTCTTCTCAAAGCTAGCAAAAGTGTTTGTGGGTGATAAAGGAAAACAGAGAACGCCAGCAAGGTGAGAACACTTTCTTTCCCTTCCGCATTCCCACCCCCACCCACAACAATTTTTTTCATTAGAATACATAGGATTTTAAGTTTTCCTTCGTAACTTCTGACTAAGGCAAGTGTGTGTTTTTTTTTTTTGTTTTTTGTTTTTTTGCATTTTTAAATATTATATTTACCTCCAGCCGAACTCGGGCAAATTAGGAGTCCTAACTTACAAATCCGAACTTTCGCGATTTCTTTAAAGTCCCTTGTGGTATTCACAAGCGCAATGTTAATTAATACTGCTGCGTAACGGGTTCGAACGATTGGGAGGCGAATGTTTATATCGCATGAGCTTCACGCGCCGGCTGTTCGCTAGTAGTCGTTACGGGCCTGAATACTACGCACGAGATTGCGTAGTAAACAAGCAGTGACGCAAAGCAGAACATTGTTTTCGTTTTCATTACAAACTTCAGTGTTTGGAGCTAGTTAGTGGTTGTACTCTACATGCCCACCATTCCCCATTCAACAGACATTCAATGGAGCGTGAATGCTCAATCTTCAACACTGCACTTGACAATGACTGTTTTATTTATTGATCAGGATACTTTTATCATGTTTACCTTTTCTGTACATGTACGATGGGCAAAGAGCGACGGCACGGCATCCTTTTTAAGCCTCGACGCCTTCGCTGACAAGCCACATGCAACCAACACCTGTAGGTTTCGTTCGTAACTCTCCGGCGAAATATGATCGGAGCAGAGCTTCGATCTGGGGGTCGACGTCCAAGGCTTTCCAAAGTCCACTCGTCGAACAGCGTTCACCCACACCTTCTCCAATTTCCGATCCGTTGGAAACTTGTGAAAAAGCACCTCCGGGTTGCGCAGCGGCTTGTTTGAGCAGCCCACAGCGCTTTAAGTTGTACTCGGCATCTTTCGAGGAACAGCTGCGCAGTCTTGGGCGCACCGAGTTGCTCGCTAAAACGGGTCTAGGAGTCCTCACAAGCAAATAAACAAAAAGCTATACCGAAGCTACACGGGCTACTGGTAAAAGCAACGGCTAAACACGCAATTACAAGCCGAAGTAGCGGTAATAGCGGCACAAAGAAGCGCGCGCGAGGCTGCGCCGTGCGCCCGTCCGGAACGGAGGAAAAAAAGAGGGACGCCGTTGACATCACGGCCCAATGTTGCTTTAGCGATCGGCAACCCGCTGGCCGCCCGCTAAGGAGCAGCGGCTCGCGGCGGGGTCGCGTTTTTATTATCGGCATTAGTTGAGAATGCGGCGTCCCACGGACGTGAAATTTTGGCTGGGGTCGTATTTTGTGTCACTAAAGCTATAGCAGTAATTTAATTCATTTTGAGTTTTGGCCGGAGTTGCCCTTTAAGAGTGCTGAAAAAGGCGTGTATCCTGCCTCCAAATATATTGCTAGATACGCGACACTAAATCGAGCTACTACGTGTGTCCTCCTCGACCATAGAATTTGCATAAAAAGACGACCCTACTTGATGAATGCCGAAGTCCGTAACTGCCTGCTGGTGGCTCGCAGGATGGCAGGCGGAAGGGTCCTTCTGGCGGCAAAACCAGCGTCGGAAGAAGTTTCGGATTGCCAGCAGCCTTTCCATGCTCCAGCCTCTGTCTTGTTGAGACGATACTGCACCCTCGTAGCACAATACCTGCCGGAGCAAAGGCGGACTAGAGCCCCTAAATATGTTACGCGTCAGGGTAACGACACTTAGGGGCGGACGCAGGTATCCTCCTCCCAAAAGAAAGGGAGGGGGAATACCTGCGTCCGCCGTGCCTGCACCTGCACTGCCGTGAACTGTTTTAGATGGTCCATATCACAAGAGCGAATGACATTTTAGCGAACGGCGACATTTGAGCGAATGGTCGTTTTAGCGAATAACGGGGGCGCGCGTTAACCCATCCGTCGCGCTGCGCTTTACGCCGCTTCGCGGCGACAGTCTGCGGCAACTCATTACAAAAATATGAACTCACTTGGCCCACCCGAAAACGCCGCTTCGCGGCGTCCGACTATTCGCTAAAGTGTCGTTCGATGAAACGTGGGGCGTTCGCTAAAACGTCATTCGATCAAGTGAGTGCCTCCCGTTTTAGATCACCCCTCCCCCCTCTCCCCCCCCCCCCCCCACCCCCCACCCCCCCCCCCCAAAAAAAAAAGGGGGGGGTAGGGGTGATCTAAAACAGTTCACGGCAGTGCAAAACCGATATACCTGAGCTTCCGGACATCGTCAGATACCGTGTCCAAAGCTCAGCAAGTCACCATTTCGAGTAGAGTGATCGCCCACTCTGCACTAGGGACCAAAATGGCGGCGCCCACAAGAAAATCGGCGAAAGAGGTACTCTGAAGTTGCTGGATCCCGTGAAAGCAATTCCATTGCATTCCCTGCCTGCTAACAGGATAAAAACAGATTCATAGCATCCAGACGAGACGACCAAGACTTTGCAAAGCGATTGGCCGAACTGTATTCGTTGCCATGGCAAGCGCCATATCGGTCCTTTTAAATCATCGATGCTTCGAAAGCGTCGTTCTGAACCAGCCGCGCCAAGATCCCTATAAAGCGTCAACGTAGTGAAAGTGGACCTCGCCAGTATAAACGTCTTTGGCA